TTTTGCGAGTGCGGCACTCGCAAAAAGAACTCTTTGTCGAAAGTGCAAGATCCGGCACTTTTCGCAAAGAATTTTTTTTAAAAAAATCAAATCTTTGCCGAGTGCCTAACAAGAGGCACTTTCGCAAAGAACGCCGTGACCGAACGCCGTTTGCCGGGCAGCCTATGCCGAGTGTAGAGATTTTGCCGAGAGTGCGGCACTTTCGGCAAAAGAAGTCCTTGCCGAGTGCCGTTGTTTGCCGAGTGCCCGGCACTCGGCAAAGAACTCTTTGCCGAGTGCAGCACTCGGCAAAGAAGGTCTTTGCCGAGTGCCCGATTTTTGACACTCGGCAAAGAATTTTACACTCGGCAAAGTCTCTGTTTCCAGTAGTGAGTGCGTACTACCATGACATTCTTTCGACTGATGGAAAAGACAGAAAAATATGCTTCGGTTTAATTTTTTTATTTTGAACAAAATATGATTCGGTTTAATGAAACAGAACACTGTTCTTAGCTTGAGTGAGGCCCAGTAGGAGGAAGGTGCGAAAGTGACGGCCCAGCCCTGTGTTCACGCCGTGTTCCGTGTGTACAAGTAGTAAGCGATCGACTACCACACATTCTCCGTGAAAACATCTCAAAACTATGTCACCAACATGAAGGCAAGGGCCTCCTACTGTGATCAGCTCACAAATGATAGCGTGCTTGAAATATTTGAGGCCATGCACATGGTGAACGCCTCAGCCAGGGCAAAACTAAGAGATTGCTTCGATTTTATTCAACAATCCAAATTTGAAATGAATGTTTGATCATATAAACATTTTATCCACAGAGAATTTCTGAAACAAAATGCGCCCTGTAATCTTTGTGTTTTTATGTTTGCTTTCACAGGTGCAGGCTGTTAGCAGCTCAAGCCCGGCTCCAGGTGTTCAAGCGTCGTCTTCAGGCTCGCCTCCAGGCTCGCCCTCGACAAGGCCCAAGAGGGACCGTAAGCCCAGTTTCCGCTTCGTCGGCCCATCGTGAATCAACTGAGTATGAGCAATATATGTAGGAGAGGAACCGGAGAGGAGAGACATGAATGGAAATTGTATCTCTATACTCTCTAATATTTACTCTTCTAAATTCAAATTCCTCTGGTTGTCCCTGCTACCTTCTTCTACCTCCGATCTCCATCTACTATCTCTAACAATTGATATCGGACGTCTCGTTCCTCAATCCTAGCCCTTCCTCCTCCTCCACCTCCTCCTCCTAACTACCACTATACCCGTCTCAATCGCGCTCGCGCTGTGATGGAGCCCCCGCTGCAGCTCGTCCTCGACGCGCTGAAATCCCGCTTCGACGAGTTCGCAGACCGTAGCGCCGCTGTCGACTCAGATTCGTCACTTTGGAGGCTTTGCGCACTACTCTGGCTGATGCGATCGAGCGTCGTCTGGCAGGGATCGAGTCGCTCCACCCATATCCGGTGGCTGCCTCCGTTGAGCAGTGCCTCTCCACCCTCGAAGCAAGCCACGCTGACTACACACAGCGCCTCACCAATCTGGAGGCCGTCCACGTCGCCCGCTATCAAGGACGAGCGCGACGCGCATGTGGCAGCACTCGAGACGGCAACTACGGATCTCGCAGCATGGCGACCGGGCATGTAGGGCATACTGGACGACATCCAGAAAGACGTTCAGAAGCTGGTGAAGAACCTCAACCGCAACATGTTCGACAAAATGTCTCACCGGCCGGGACTGTTTCCATCACCACCACCGGAGCCCGCGCACTCCTCTGCTGGTCCAACCTCCAACCTGCCCAACGGGCACTGCGTCGACTCGATTCCACGGGATATTAGGTCCGGAGTCGTCATGACTTGGACCCATGTCTCATCCAGTGGTACGTTTCCTGAACATCCTTCTCATGTTCATGCATCTGATTTCCGCCCTCTGCCTATGAAGATTCCTCCGCGTCCTGTGCCTGAACCCGTTCACCATCCTCCACCCCACCTTCCACCAATTGATTTTCGTCCACCACCTAAGTTTATTCCCCCGTGCCCTCTGCCTACTCCAGTTCACCATCCTCCACCAAACCTTCCACCTCCTCTGGATCATCACCGACCCCATCCACCAACTGGCCGCCTCCCTAAGCTTCCATTCCCAAAATTCGAGGTGGTGGCGTTCTCGCTGCAAAAAATATTTTGCAATGTTTGAGGTTGATTCGTCCCTTTGGATCAGTTTGGTCGAGCACTACATGGAAGGCGCTGCCGCCATTTGGTATCAATCTATGTCATCTCAGTTGCCCACGGCAACTTGGGATCCCTTTTGTTGCTTGCTGCACGACTGTTTCGATCGTGATCAGCATGAGTCCATTCTCCACAAACTGTTCAATGTCTGGCAACAAACTTCAGTTTCTGATTACGTCACTACCTTTTCCGAATTGGTTGGTCAGCTGACAGCCTATTCTCCAAATTCCAACCCCCTCTTTTTCACTACCCGTTTCATCGATGGGTTTCGTCATGATATTAAGTCTATTGTGCTTGTACAACATCCAAAAAAACTTTGATACTGCTTGTCGCCTCGCATTGTGCACCGCGTGGAGGCGATTGGTCTTTGGCGTTCAAGCCCCATCCCCCGGCAGCCGCACCACTGCCTCTGCCTCCGCTGCCACCACGTGTTGACAAGCAGGCATCGACCTCTGCTGCAACTCCTACTCATCAGACTCTGGCTGCTGTGAAAGCTTATCGGCGTGCTTTACGTCTACGCGCCAAAGGTACTGCATGCTGTTGAAGCTTTGTGGGAATCATTTTCATCATAGGATTCTTTGGCTGATTCAGCAGAGGACTTCACAGCTACTGAACAGCTATGTTTGGCTCTATCCAAGTCCGCAATATCTGGTGTGCCAGCATCTCGCACTATATGTCTTCAAGGCTTTCTGCAGTCTATTCTTGTCACCATATTGGTGGACTGAGGTAGTTCAGCATCATTTGTGAATGCATCAATTGTTCCTCAATTGCACAACATTTAGTCTGCCAATCTGCAATGCTGTTCAGGTTGCTGGGGGTGCCAAGCTCATCAGTGTGGCTATTTTACTCCAAGTCCCTTAGTCAGTGGCTGCATGTACATTTCAGTCTGACTTTAGGGTGCTACCCCTGGGTTCCCTTGATGTTGTCGTGGGTATGGATTGGTTGGCTGCTTACAGCCCGATGCAAGTTCATTCGCAGGAACAATGGATAGCTATTCCTTATCAAGGTCAGATCACTGTTCTACAGGGCCTGCAAACCTCACAGCCACAGCAATTACTCTTGCACATTGACTCGGGGGACAGGCCTGATACTAGTATTCCTGATCAGTCGACATTGCCACCAGCAATTCAGTCATTGCTTGATGGCTAGATGTTTCTAATTAATGTTAGAATTTCTAGCATTTATCTTATTTTCCTAACGTGTCTGGTGAGAATTAACGTGGAGGCTCCCTGGTCGCTCTAGAACCAAACACATACGAAACTTTGTTCACCCCATCCTGTCCCTGCTAATCATTGCAACCAAACACACCCATAGTTTCTCATTTAATTGACTCCCGCAAGCAAAGACAAACAATTCAAGCATACACCCCGAGAAACACATCACAGGGCTCAAAAGGACCCACTTCGTGATCGAGCTGCGAGCCTGCGACCTTAAGCTTTTGTAGCACCATTGCTCCTTAATCATGCCCTTTTGTTACAATATCAGCTCTAAAACACAGAGGTTCCTCACCTGATTTCGGGAAATATATCATGCTCAAAGGTTAAGGCCATATCCCCAGAATTATTTTGCGAGCCTTCAAATACGATAAAAAATCAATTATAGCCAGAACTCGGAAAAATCAATTACAGTCCGAACTCAGAACAGAAAGGAATTAAACAGGAGACTCACTGCCTCTATGAACAGCAAGATGATGTAGCCATTGTTTCTGAGCACGGTGCTATGGCTGTAAACAATTATTATGTTCCCTGCTATTGATCAGAAAAGGTTGCACGCACGCAGCTGCAACCTGGAAGGCTACAGCCTACAGTATAGAATCCTCCGTATCATCACGCACCGCCCATTCTCCAAGACGCGAATCGCCATTTTACTAAAACAATGGAATGCGCGTGGACGCCGGTAGAAAAGGAGATGGCCGGTCAGAAGGGCCTTGGTTCCGAACCAAAGCTTTTAATATCCACGATGACCACGTCGATGGGGGCCGTGACCACATCGACGGTCTACGGACATGCAATGCAAATCAGTAAACGAAGGGCCTGCCCAGTGACCAAGGACACCCAAGGTCTAGGTCGCCAAGAGCCCAAGACACAGCATTCCGTTACAACAGTATCACTGATTCATTTCAATCCATTAAATTAAATGTGACTGTACTCATTACAATCAGTAGAACTTGCAACGTGGGCCTCTCTGCAGTTCGTCTACCGTCAGCAGAGTTGTTGGTGGAAAGCAGAGTAGCGCTTGCACAGAAATACAACGCCTAATTAGACCTCTGCCTCGGCGCGCTCCACGGAACGAGCCACGAGGAATCGACGCGTCCAGCAGGACAGGAGGGCCTTGATAGCGTGCTTCAAATATTTTGAGGTCATGCACACGGTAAACGCCTCAGCAGGGGCAAAACTATGAGGTTGCTTCAATTTAGTTCAACAATCCAAACTTGTCGCTTGAAATGGATGTTTGATCATGTAAACGATTTTATCCACAGAAACGAGATGCGCCTTGCACTCTTTGTTTTTCCTGTTTGCCTTTCACAGGTGCAGGCAATGATGACTGACAAAAATTCAGCATAGCAACATCCACGCTGTCATCATGTAAACAGGGTTGTGCTCAGAATTCACGAGCACACTTCACATATATAAACATCAAAATTTACGCTCATACCAAACAACAGATGTAGTTATTGGCACGACGACAAGAAGTTCACAAAAACTGAAAGAGTCGAGTACAATAACACTGGTTATTGTGGCTCTTCGTCAGCCAGGCACCTTCTCCTTCTACAAGCAGAGCACACCATTCTACGACTCCGTGCATTAGCCTGCCTGCCCATGTCCTGCTCTTGCCCAGCCTAATCCAGACGTCCATCGGTTCATGTGTAGGCTCTTCATCAGCCAGGCACCTTGTCCTTCTTTGTGAACCAGAGCACAACAATCTGCCACTCCCTGCATCAGCTTGCCACTTCCAGGATTGAGATTGGCTAGCTTGCCTGCCCTGTCCTGCCCAGCTTGGTCCAGACGTCTATGTGTAGACATCTGATGGATAATCTCCCACACCACAATATTAATGACATAAGGCTGTAGTCACTTCATGCTCAACGCCTGAAAGAGAAAAGAAACTGGGCACCGGTAATTAACTAAAAGCAGAGCAGATAAACATGACACAAAATTATAAATTCTAGCCAATGGTCATACTTTACATCTTCATAGCCATTTGATTGGGAATCTCAAAACGTGTTCACCATACCCCAGTGTAAACATCCAGGTCCTCTCCGTGCAGCAGCTGTCGGTGCTGCTCTTGGAGCCCAGGAAGCCACCGTGATGAGGAGGCACCTTCCATATCCTCTGTCCGGAACAGCTGGTGCAAGTTGTCCAATCTCTCAACACACCTCAAGTTGGGGCACCGCTGTACACGCAGCAGTCTCACTTGGGGAAGATTTGAGACCCTCTCTAGACCTCCACAATATGTGATTACAAGGACCTCTGAGAGGAAACAGAGGTTCTCCACCACATTAAGGCTGTGCACATCTCTTAATTGGAGCTCCTTCAAGCTGGTGGCCTGCTGTCCAAGCTGCTGTGGGAGAGCTCTCAGCTTGGGGCAGCGGTCAAGCTCCATCTTCTTCAGTCGTGGCAGCAGCTGCGTCCTTGGAGGTGGGGCGTCCTCCTTTTGATTTGCAGCAGCCTCATCCTCTACCCTTTCCTTACCTGCTGGTGTTGCTTCTTGTTCTTCTTCTTCAGCAACAAAGGACCACTCCTCCCAGTTGGGCATATCCCTGATGATCAAGGTTTCAAGCTTGGGGAATGCTACTGCCTCCGTAGATCTGAGATTACCCACGCCATAGCCAACAAATTCGAGTCCAATCTTGGTGACTGCAGTGGCTCCCTTGATTTGTAGATATTTCAAGTTGGGGAGCTGACAGATTGGTGGAAGATTCAAACATGATTTGCAATCAATGAGGTTCAAATATGTCAGTGAAGGCAAATGGGCAGCAGTGCCTAGCCAGGTAGCAAACCTCCGACCAAAGAAATTACAAAAACTGAGATCCTCCAAGTTGTGCGTAGGGATTAGCAAATCAAAAGTCTTCTCAATATTGATTACGACACCTTCAAAATATGGTTCGTCTGTACTTTCAGTGGACCATAGAGATAACCTTTCGAGATACCTTTTGTTTATAAATAGCGAATCAGTACTACAAGGACCTGCTCTATCCAGATTAATCAATTCAAGGCTCCTCAACTGCATAAGAGGGCCCAACTCTTCCAGGTTCCATCCATCTAGCATTCTAGCACTATTAGCATTGCCACCACCAATAGGAAATCCTCGCAAATCATTGAGAGACTTTAATCTGCCTATTCCTTTTGGAACTTGGTTTATTGGTGTGTTATTAAGACCTAGACGCCTTAGACTACATAATCGAGTGACTGTTAATGGAAGGTTGTGCAAATCGCCACAATGCTGCAAGTTCAATACCTGAAGATTTTTTTAATGAACCAATGGACTCTGGAAGGCAAGTTATACTAGTACTCTGAATATCAAACAAACGTAGATGAATCAAACTTCCAATACTCTTTGGAGTTGTTTTCATATTTGACCTGCTAAGATCCAAAACATGAACATACAGAAACCTTTTGAACATTGAAGGTTCAATTGTTAGTGACTTGCCACAAAAACTCATTATAGTTCTCACTTTGAGTTGTTGATTATCCACACTTGGCAAAACAACCATTTCCTTGTCTGTTACAAATGACACACGTCGTAGTTTAGATACAATTGTACTTTCCAGCAACTGTGGGTCTCCGAGTAAACAATCCTCTTTGATAAATGATGGGCAAGCTGCCTTAATAGATCATGCATTTTGCACCATTGTTGGTCAACATAGACATGATCTGGTATGAGGAGGTTCCTTGATATCAACTCATAGTAGTACTCTTCTGCTGTATCTTCCATTAGCTGGTTCTCTTTCTTCTCTATAAAGCCTTCAGCAACCCAAGACATAACAAGATGATCACGTTGCATTGACCAATCTTCAGGATATAAAGCACAATAAAGAAAACATTCCTTCAAGTTTTGTGGCAGCTGGTCATAACTCAAGTACAAATGCGGACACATGGTTGATATGTTCCCATGTGGTCTTGTGTGATGAGTGATTGTCAACGTGATTCACGTCTTGGGTTAAGTTGGTGAACTAACAATGGCGTGAGTTGGGTTGTGCAACATGTCCCTTGGCTTGTGGTGCGCAGATGTGGAGCTCGGAGGCGGTGGTCAATGGCGAGCTGAAGGTCAAGTAAAGACGGGCCGTGACGATGGACCGGGAGCGGTGAAGGGCGGACGTGAGGCTTGGACTGAGGGACCGGAGCGCCGGAGGACCAGCCGCGGTGGCTGACACTTGGGGACATCGATAAGCGCAAGTGTACATGGAGGAGTGACCGTGTTGACCGAGTCAAGACGGCGGACGTGCAAGTTGAGCGGAGGCTTTGGAAGACTTGGCAGCCAGGTGGTCGAGGATGGCGGGGACACATGTCGAGGAGCGAGGACGCGTATGGAGTACGCTACTCGCGAGCAGGTTTGGTGATTTGGGCTGCAAAAACCACCGGTGGACGGTTTTCGGGTTTGGGCCTCAAAACCCGGGAGGAGGTTTCGAGGAGGAACAGGGTGGCACGTGGTGGAATCACAGAGGTTGTGTCGAGGCGAAGCAAATGTGTGCAAGAAGCGTGGCCGTCCGATCGACAGAAGACAGAGTGGGACCATAATGCCTTAGGGTTAGGTGGTTCGCTCTATTTATCCGGGGGCAGTTTGGGAACTGTGTAATAGCTCTGTTAAATAAGGATGTGGGTGCCCCAATCACCCTCACCTCTTGCCATTTCATTTCTTCATCTCTAGGCTCTCTCTCCCTCTCCCTAGAGTTCCAGAGGTCCTCGGATGAACTAGCCACTTCATGCATGTAATTGAACCGAAGATTTGTGCGGGAATGGAGGCCCTAACCTCCTCGTGCCCTCTGGGATTCTAGGTTTGAATCGTTTGTGCAATTCCCGTTCATGTTCTTCGTGTTCTTGTTCTTCTCCCTCAACCCCCATCTCACTTTCTTGCTCGAATCTTAAGTTGCGGGGCATTTTTGGTCAAACCGATTGTTTTAGAATGAACTAGGACGTGAGTTGAATCTTTCCACTGAAGGAGTTTATCTGAAACCTCACGAGTTCATAGATCGGGGCGATTCATTTTTCGGAGTTGAAAATTCGGCTTTTTTTGCGTGATCCAAATTTCCCGTCGATTGACAAATCTTTAAGCGATGATCTCTTAAGAGTAGTTTCCCTACTGCCTTGCGATACCTTCGTTCAATTTTGGTGGCAATTGGTTTTGATTTGGTCGCAAATCGGGCAAATTTGTGTTCTTGGCGATTTTAGGGACCTCTGTCCCGTAGACAACGGACAGTCCGACAGTCGGGGTCAGGAATAGCCAAGTTCGGTGCCTATACTATTTCGCTTTAGCATAGGCGTGGACAGTCCGCCCCTAAGACGCAGACAGTCCACCGCTGTTGTGAAATGTCCAGACCAGAACTATTTTCCATCGTGTGTTTCCTGAGATTTTGCCTGCGGACAGTTCGGGACTTGATCGCGGACAGTCCGCTGCTGCTGCATCGCCTTGGACAGAACTGTTTCTCATCTTCTATTTTTTTAGTTTGGCCGACGGACAGTCTGGCCCCCTTGCCGCGGACAGTCCACGCTGTGACAGCAGACAGTCCGGCCCTGTTCAGTCTTCTCGGCTTTGAGGTGTTTCGTCGAGGGCTTTGCTTGGTCATTTCTCGAGGGTCCTGCTGTTTCTTTTGGTCATCGCCATAGACATCCAGCCACCTAGTTGGCTCGTGCATCTCTCCTCTCCTGTGTGTTTGGCTTTGGGGTTTGATCTTGGGACAGCAGCCTAAGTTTTTGAAAGAAATTTGAGGCTCCCATTCACCCCCCGCTTTGGTCGCCATTCCGGTCCTTCAATTGGTATCGGAGCTGGTTAAGCATCTTTCTACCTTAATCGATCTGTGATCTACGAAGGCGACATGGAGCGTGGTTCCGGCAAGCAACCGTACTTCGATGGTACAAACTATGCTTATTGGAAGATCCGCATGTCTGCATATCTCTAGATTTTGGATTGGCGTGTCTAGGAGATTTGTGAGTATCCCAACTACGAGGTTCTTGCTGCGCATGTTGGTCAGGAGCAAATTGATCAACACAACGCAAATAGCAGGGCTCGTAATGCAATTTTCTCGTGTCTTTTTCCCACTGAGTTTGATCATGTTTCTCACCTCTCTACGACTCGAGAGATCTGGTGTAATCTTCTTAGCTACCATGAGGGTACAGCCCAAATCAAAACCATACTCTTTGACACGTATAGACGTGAGTATGAAAACTTTTCCCAAATGAATGGAGAGTCTGTCGATGTTTTTTTCTCTCATTTTCAAATGATTGTGAACAAAATGAGAGCAAATCGAGTGCAACTACCTTATGATGATCATGAGGGGGCAATCAAATCGTTCCATGCCCTTGATCGGAAGGTTTGGGAGGTGAAAGTTGCTACCATCACTGAGTCGCCCAACTACGAGACACTCACCGTGGAGGAGCTCTTCAGTAAGTTTAAGTCTACTGACATCGACATCAACACTAGAGCCAAGATGGAGAACCCCTCTACGCCTACCATGGCATTGGTCTCAGGTAACGGTAGCTGAAGTTCCTTCACTAACCCTTCACAACCTCTCTTTGCGTTGTCTTCCTTGTTGTCTATCACAGAGGAGCACATGGAGGTGCATGGAGACGACGAGCTGGCTCTAGTCATCAGCCGGTTCTCGCGATATCACAACAATCGCTTGAATTGCTGGCGTGGTGGCTCGAACCAAGGATACTTTGGTTGTGGAGACCCGGACCATTTTGTCGCCAACTGCCCCAGGAAACGCATGTACCCCTCCAACAAGTACGATGCCGGCAAGCGCAAACAGAAGCCAGAGCACTCCTCGGACAAGCACAAGTCCAAGGGAGGATTTGACAAGGAGGTGCTCAATAAGAGGTTTCTGAAGAAGGCCAAGGCTCAGCAACGCGCCTTCCTTGCATCCCTCAGCGATCTCGACAACTCCGGTGATGAGCGAGCTTCCCTGTAACACCTCGGGTGTTACGAGCTTGCTTAGCACCTAGGTTAATGCATAAGAGTAATTAGCAAAGCAAATTTTCAGGTTTTAAAACACACATGGAATGACGAGTGAGTCATAGGTGGTTCACTTTGATGGACTAAACTAAATATCTGGGTTAATTCACTTAGTGCATAAAAGTATTTAAAATTGTGGTTTAAATAGCTTGTCAAAACAAATTTGCTTGCTGAGATGTTTCATCTCACCCTTGCATTACTCAACACAGGTACTCGATGCTTGCATGGAAGGGAAGTGGATTAACGACACATCTTCACTGATTCACCCACACATAGAGATAATAATGATACGTTTGTCTTGATGTAATAAAATTAGTTTATCAGTCATGATGACCCTTTGTGGTTTAATAATATTAACTGAGGTGGAACCTTTTTTTAACCATAGTTTTGTCTTGTTGCTTCCCTGTTTTACTTGGTTCATGGGTTTTATGTGGCCAAGTTTTAGACTTTTGCATGAGGGAAGGGACGTTAGTGACATCTTGGGCTTTTGTGGTGCCTGGGGTGTTACACTTTCCCTTCTATTTTTCCATCTCCTTCTCTTCCCCGTGGCCTCTCTCTCCTCCGATGGCCGCCCGTCGTTGCCTAGGCCGTGGAACCTTGCCATCTCCATCACACTCACCGATGTTGGCGGCCCTCGCGCCCTCTCGATGGCCGCACTCACGATACCGGCGGCACGACGCGCTCCCTCCCATGTTGTCCGGCTAGGCTGGCAGCCGAACAACTTCTGAAGCCGGTGCAGAAGCCGTGCAAAATGAGCCATACCTGTAAATATCATAATCTTGCTTTTCGTACTATGTATGTGTTGGTAGAGTCAGATATTGAGTTTTGTGATTTCTTTGGAACCCATAAAAATACATAATTCTAATATTTGATTAAAGTCAGCAAGAAGTAATTTATTGTTGGAGACCTCTCTCTCAATTTCCATATGGCAACCCTCATCGAGGATTGGAGTTGTGTATGCCTACAGCTTGGAGATACATTTATTTTGATTAGATTAGATGGCAAACTGATGAAGATTTTAGTTCACGATTTGATTAGTTGGACCATCAGCTGATCGAGGCTCTAATAATAAATAAGTTTTATATATATTATTCATCAACAACTTGCAACTTAGTGGTGGAATATTTGTTTATTAGGGGTTATAGATAGAAGGGTTCAGAGTTCAAAGACCCATAGTGATGGATTTATTATTTGTGTTTATAAGAAAAACAAGATAGATTAAAAAAAATAAGAAAAAAGGAAAAATGTCACGGAAAGAGAGCTGGATACCAGAAAAAACTAATACTCTGGAACCAAAGTTATACACAGAATTACAAAGATTTGTGACATCAAATAGGTATGCTATGAAAATATAATTAATAAAAAGTCTAATGATTCTTAGTTGGCATCATAAATTTTATTATCTTATCATATAAATTTGATCAAACTTGAGATGCTTTAACTCTCCAAAATTCTTGGAATGACTTATAATTTGCGACGGAGGGAGTACTACCAAACTACCAACTCGCTTGAATTTCGAGTTGAGTAAAGCAACCTTAACATTAGTTAAAACTTGGTCTAGGAATTTTTTTTATTAGGTGATCGTCATCAAGATGGGATTGATGTGCACAAATGGCAAGAGCTACATGCCTAGAACAGTGGAACTTTGCAGGGGCATATGTACATACAGGTGGTAGACGTACGACTAAAATCTGACTGCACATCTTCACAAATAGACGAACGCACGCAAGTGACGGGCCAGACCTGTTAGACGCCTGCGTGAGATGTGTTGGCACACAGCCCAGTGTCCACGCCGTGTCGCGTGTGTACAAATAGCACGCGAATTCAAAACGACTGCAGTGGCGGACGGTAATATAACTGTTCTGAAATTCAATGTCAGCAAGAGCGTCCTCGAGCGGGCCTGCAGGACGACTGCAGTGGAGGATACGAAGGCAAGGAGGCTCCGATCCTACTGGGATCAGGTCACAGACAACAGCATCCTTGAAAATTATGAGGTCATGCACGTAGAAAACGCCTCACCAGGGTCAAAAACAAAGACGTTTCTTGATTTAATTCAACAATCCAATCTTTAGATGGTTCTTTGGTCTCTCCGCCAAAGAAAAAGTTTTACCATCTGTTTAAATGAAACATATCCACAGAGCATTCCTCAAACAAAACTCACGTAGCAGCATACACGCTGGGGCTCCAAACAACGTATGTAATGTTTGGCACAACTTAAAGAAAAAACAAGACTAAAAAACACCAGCAGTATATATCACGACCTTATTCAGATACATACGCAAACAAAACACTGGTTATTCAGACACATGCGCCACTTGATCAGGAGACACCACAACGCATCTTCTCCTTCCTCGATAAGCAGAGCACCAAATTCTTCAACTCCTTGCATCAGCTTGACACGAGACACGCGTCCGTACTATCCAGCCCAGCGTAATAAGGCACTCCCAACCCAGACTCTACCCATAAAGCCATTTGGATACAAGCCGATGGTTGCTTTCTATCAGCTGTTTGCTTAGTACGCCATACTTGAGGTTTATCGGATGCCTGAGCCTGTTCCATCTCTTTATTCCTTAGGCATTGCATCCTTCTCTTCTGGCTTCTTGTCAAACCTTCTGGACATCATTGGCCTTCTTGCCAAACATATCATTTCTCGTTGCCTTCTTCTTCATAATCAGGCCAGTCATGGTCAACAACTCGCTTCCCAAGCCGATTATGAACACTTTTATTTTTTAAGCGCCGATCCATGTTATTATGATGATATGTATCTTGAGCATGGATAGACCGGCGGTTGGTTTGAGATTGCCTAAACTCCCAATATCGATTGCTGCATTCTGGACAGTCATGTCTGGTAGGCAGCTTCAAACCTTCATTCCAGCAATGTCTGAAGAAAGGACAATTCCAATGTGATTCGGTTTGTATCCTTTCATACCTCTCTTTTTCCAGTTGACGCTGGTATTCTTGATTCTCTAACCAACACTGATAATCATTTTCCTTCTGTCGCTACCACTTATTCAACAGGATCCGAGATGTAACTCGTGGCTTTGTCGCCCTATCCCTTGACGTTTCCCTCTGCTTATATCGGCTCTTTTGCTTGTCGTGACATCTTCTAATTTCTCTGTATTCGTCGGCCGATATTTGCATCTTGGGATCGACTGTTCCAGCTTCTTTTGATTTGGTTGATGTTAGGACCTTAGTCTTTCCTTTGAGTAGCCTAGCATCGACCATGTTTTGATTTTCTGGGAAAGGATTATCATCAACTTTCATTTTCCGAGGCGTATCAAATTTGAGCCTTCCTTGCTGAATAGCTCTCTGTATATGCTGCCGAAAAATTCTACATTCATTTGTGGAATGAGAAGTAGCGTTATGGAACTTGTAAAACTTCTTATTCTTCAACTGATCAGGGGGCAACATAACATGATTATCGGGCAACTTGATTTGTCCCTTCTCAAGCAAGAAATCGAAGAGCTTGTCTGATTTTGTGTCATCAAAGTCATAGCTCTCCTCGACTCCTTTTCCCTAAGGATTTGGCACCATTACTGTCTTCTTACCCTAATTCTATTCAGCCGCAACAACTTCTTCTTCTTCACCTTCATAGCCATTATCGACTGAGTATGGATTATAAGCTTCGGCCACTGTGGTACTCTTCTGAAATCGGGTATCTCTGCGCATACTCTAGAATTGGCTATTGAGCGCTGCCACTCATTGAGCCAATTGACCCAAGTTGTCAAATTCTTGCCCCAGCAGCTTTTCTTTCCACATTGACAGCATTCCTTGAACGGCTAAAGCAGCTAGCTGATCATCAGTCAAATTTAATGAGAAACACAAATTTCTGGTTTCTCGGAACCTCTGAAAAAACTCAGTGCCCGATTCGTTAGTCTTTTGCCTTATGGTTGTCAAATCGGTTATCTTCTTTTCTCCAATCCCACTGTAAAAATATGTATGAAACTTCTTCTCTTGGTCAGCCCAATTGGCAATGGAATTGACTGGCAGTGATGAAAACCAAGTGAAGGCTGGCCCTGATAGGGACAAGGAGAAGAAACGAACTCGATGGGCCTCCTCAACTGATGCCTCGCCCAATTGTGTAAGATACCGACTGACATGTTCTGTTGTGCTTGTACTGTCTTGGCCAGTGAACTTAGCAAACTCTGGAAGCCTGTAATTTGCAGGAAGAGCGATCAAATTATACCATTCTGGGTATGGGCGTTTGTATGAAAAGGTTAGCCCTTTTGGCTTCAGACCGAACTGATTCTTCATCATCTCGGTCACCTTTAGCAACAACTCATCAGCATGTGAATTTGGATTCATCTGCACCTGCTGACCCATCTGTGGATTGAAATCCCATGTGTCTTGATACCCTGGTTTCGGAATCATGTGCAGGGTGTTATAATCTATGCCATAATGATACCCTTGTGGAATCTCTATCTGCTGGGTCCATTGCTGGTTTGCTGCTTGAAGTCTTTGATTGTAGATATGAGGATCTATATCTCTACGGATCCTTTGAATTGATGGTGCTATTTTTTGATACGACGACGGTATGTGGCCTGATGTGTCAAAATTAATCACCTGGTTCTAACCTTGCCCCGCCGGCTGTTGCACATGCTGTATTGACGGTCCAGGATTATAGTGCGTGTGATTCGCAGTAGTACCTTGAGCTTGTTCAGATGAACCCTAAACTGCATGGGCATCATTTTTACCAGCAGGTGCTGCTTCTTGATGGCTGGTACCGACTTGATATTTCCCTTGGGTCGACGGATGTGGAATGTTGTAATAAGCCGGCCCAACTTGACCAACTGGAAACCCATGAATCGCCACTTGTATGATGTTGTGGAATGTGTCCAAGAAAGCTTCGTTACGGCTTGATATGGCATCACAAACAGATTTGTCTACAACTTCCGTAAAGAAACGCATGTCTTCAACTTCAACTGTATCTGTCTGTCCGTGTAATAGAACTCTTGGTAGTGGAAATTTCTGAACAATTGTGTTGTCACGTGTTTTGGTGTAGGACAACAGACATTTGTCCTAAAATTCTTCTATAGCTTTGCCGATGACATCTTTTAACTGATTTACCGATTCTTCATAATGTACCATAAGGATGTCGTTGTTGTTGTGAACCGCCATCAGACGATTGTGGGTTCGAGTCCCACCAGGCGTGCCAGAAACGTGTGTCGACACAGAAATTTCGTCCCATGCCGAGGGCACACGAGCAAGCCGGAAGGGTCCGCTCGTTGGAGCTGGAGATCCGGCTAGCTTCAGCGTAGGGATGATCGATCCTGCGCACTACTCCCGAGATGTGCCAGTCAATTTGACCCTGCAATTGACAAGGAGAAAAATTTTATCAGTAATTTAGGGAGGAATGTGCCGGTGTTGCCAAACAGTCCCGAATGTGCGGCTCCGAGAGCCGATATGAAAGGAGATCGACTAAATAGTCGATTCCAGCATATTCATAAGAATAAATTTGTTAAAGCTCATGGGGTTGTGTAAAAAGAATCAGTTATCGTTTAGAATGAATATCATTATTTGGACAAATATCGGTCAATGGCAAAAAGATGTCAACAATGATTAAACTATGCTAAGCCAATGATTGTGAGTAACCGAACCCCTTTTATAAAAGTAACAACTCATCATCATTCGACCATTTAATAAAGATAAATCTAATGAACAAATTAGATCTCATCTATCGCTATAACCAGTG